AAGGGACCTTGGAGGTCTTCTAGTCCAGCCCCCTGCTCAAGCAGGAGAACCTATTCCATCTCAGACAAGCGACTGTCCAGTCTCTTTTTCTTGATGGGGTGAAGCAGAATTTTGGAATTGAACTTCCAACCGTTCATTTAATGACCTTTCAAATGTACAACGGCCCTGAAAAATGGGACTTCGGGCCGTTTTTCATACTTACGACCATGGTACCACATGGTCAGAATTCAAACGCTGGGCCACTGACTCCTATTTATGATGGCCAACAGTGTCCTGGGGGGGTGGGGGCACGTAATCCCCTTTGCCGACCTCCACGGCAGCAAGAAAGGTGGTAAAATGGCGGGCCAGGCTCCCTCCACAACCAGGCCCCCTCAGCCACAGCTGGGCTCCCTTGTGGCCATAAGCCGAGGACGCCCCAAGAAGGCGAGGTCTGCTGTGCGCTTTCCAACGCGGCCCTCGTGGGTGTCGTCCCTCAGGTGACGTCCTGGTGATGGACGAACTGGGCTACCTGTATTTCCGAGACCGGACCGGGGACACTTTCCGCTGGAAGGGCGAGAACGTCTCCACGACGGAGGTGGAGGGCACCCTCAGCCGCCTCCTCAACATGGCGGACGTGGTGGTGTATGGCGTGGCCGTGCCAGGTCAGTGGGGACCACGAAGGACAACCGGGGCGGGGCGGATTGGAAGTCAGGAATGGCGGTTTTTCACACACACACCCTCACAATCGGTCTCACCTCACATAAGAGACCTCCCATATATGTATTTTATTTCTTTCTTACTTACTTTATTTACTTACTCACTGACTTATTTAATTGTCTGTTTATTTATTTACTTAGTATTTACTTTATTTATGTATTCAATTATTTATTTACTTATTTAACAGTTTATTTACTTATTTATTTAATTGCTCATTTAATTATTTACTTACTTAGCATTTACTTTATTTATTCAATTGTTTAATTATTTAGTTGCTTATTATTTATTTATTTACTTACTCTTTACATATTTCTTTAATTAATTTACTTATTCAATTATTTACTTATTTATTTATTTATTTTTACTTGCTTATTAATTTCCTTATTCATTTATATTCTTTAATTAATTAATTAATTAATTAATTTTCTTATACTAATTTATTTATTTACTTATTTATTTACTTTTTACTTGCTTATTGATTTCTTATTCATTTATTTTTTCTTTCTTTCTTTAACTTATTTATTTACTTATACTATTTATTGATTTACTTACTTTTTACTTGCTTTTTGATTTACTTATTCATTCATTTATTTACTTATACTAATTCATTTATTCACTTATTTACTTGTCCTTATTTATCGATTCATTTATTGAATTATTTATTCGCTTATTGATTTACCTGCTTTTTACTTGCTTATTGATTTACTTATTCGCTTCTTCATTTCTTTAATTGTTTGTTATTGATTTACTTACTTTTTGCTTGCGGACTTATTGATTGACTGATGTATTTATTGAGTCATTCGTTCATTTATCTATTTATAACAAATTTATTGGGGCCGCCCGCCTTACCCTAGGGTTACAATCTTTGTGAAAACAAAACAAAAAACATGTTAAAATCAAACCTGAAAACCCCAAGACTCACGGGGCAGGACGGGGTGGGGTGGGGGGTGGATCGGGAGGTAGGGGGGGCTGCTGGGGGTTTGCGGGGGGTTCGGGAGAGCCCCTAGCTAAGATTCTGTGCAGTTCAGAGAACCCCCAAATCCCACTCCTGGGTGGGCCCACACCCAGCCCTCCCAGGAGTCCCCACGTGGCCCGTTTTGGGTGCAAGTAAGTGCAGGTGCGCATGGAGACATGGGGAGGGTGAAAAACGGGCCTCCCAGAAGTTTGGGAAGGCTGGAAATGGGCCTCCGGAGCCCAGGGAGGCCATTTTCATCCTCCCAGAGACTCAAGGGAAGCCTCCGGAGCCCGGGAAGGAAAAAATGGCCCCCACCACCACCATGGTGCAGGAGGCCGACTAGGCCACACCCAACTGAGCAGCAACTTGCTGATATTTTTGAAACCCACCCCCTGGGAGACGGGTTGAGTTATTACTCCATCGACCCCTTCCTCAATCAAAGAGAATTTTGACGGCCTGGTGGGGGTTTTATTGCATTTTTTTAATTATTTTTTTTAGGCACGGAAGGGAAAGCTGGCATGGCTGCCGTGGTAGATAAGGAGCACGCCTGCAACTTGGAGAGCTTTGCTGCAGAAATGAAGAAATCCCTGCCCGCCTACGCCCGGCCGGTGTTCCTGCGGTTGCTGAAGGAAGTGCACCAGACAAGTGAGTCCCCCCACTGGGCCGTTGAAACAAGCTCCCATGTTGGTTTGCATCAGGTGCACCGTTGTACAATTGGACGTTGCGTGATGGAAATGGTTAGTTTGCTCCTAAGGGCCAGAACCAGGGTGTGGGATGCTACTGGTTCGGCCTGGTTCTATAGAACCTTTTAGTTGTGAAGAGCAGCTGACACCCAACCGGTTTGGTGTTTGGCCCACCTGCCTGCCTGGGCTCTAGGCTGTCCTTTATTCCCTGCTTTTCCCTCCTCAGCTTCTTTGCGCGGCACAGCTGAGGTTGAAAAAGCAGGAAACAGGGATTTTCAAATGCTGCACACCCCAGCGTAGCGCTTGTCAGCTGTCCAGGCGGCACAGCTGATGATTTCTTGCAAACGCTACACACACGATTGTCCCCAGTTCGGAGAACCGGCAAATCGCTCCACTGGTTGGCCGCTCCCTTCCCCGCCCACTCACTGCTTTCTAGCTAATCTAAAAGCAGAGCCGAACCTTCCCTAGGACTGAAGCTTTTCAGTGCAGACTCAGGTAGCCGATTGCAGATAGATAGATCTCTAAGTGAATCTGTGATTCTGTGAGCAACTCAATCTGCCTGCCTGCTTTGCCTGCTTTTGGGTAAAAGTTGCTCTTTTTTATAAAAAAATAATAATCAATATTTACATCAATATTTATAATATTTACATACAAGCCATGCCCACCCAGTCACATGACCACCAAGCCACACCCCCAGAACCAGTTGTTAAGAAATTTGAATCCCTCCCCTGGCCAGAACATCAGAATAACGGAGTTGGAAGGGACCTTGGAGGTCCTGTAGTCCACCACCTCCTTACCGTTTCAGATCAATGGCTGTCTGGTTTTCAACTCTGCGCACAAGTCCAGAAGGCAAAGTTGGTATAAAAATGCCACCAGTCTTCTCATGGCACTGCGGCTTAAAGGAGCCCACAATAAGTTCGGTTTTAAACATTGGCTTAGCTCTTTCAGGGACTGCCATCGCTTTCATTTGTAAATCATGGTTAAAAAAACGTGATTGTGCCCAATCCTGTAGAAAACCATGGCTCCGTTCAGCTTCGGAGGCTTGTAATGCAAGATAAAAACCATTGGCCTGAACTTCCTTCCTCCTTTCTTTTTTTCTTCCTTCCTTCCTCTTTCTTCTTTCTTTCTTTCTTTCTTTCTT